AGTGCTTCCTTTCCCAAGCCCTTAAAACATTACCTTAAATGTCACAGTGGCACAGCCAGGTGCTGAGCAGTTTGGGAAATATGGCTCTTAATGAAATGCCTATGTAGGAACTAAGATTGTTTGATAGCCTCTTCCTACCAGCAGTTGTGGAACACTTGAAAAATCGGGTCCTAAGTGAATAAAAGATTTTGCCCTATACACAGGAAACATAACGTACATGATTTGTTCCATACCTAGAAAAGTTTATTCCTCTCCCAAATTGCAGGTTCTCTCTTACTTCTAGAGATTATGAAGACAGGCAAAGCCAACTGATATGACTTTTGAGAACTAATATAACTACAGTTTCTTTGGTTTCACAGACAAGTTGGTCTGGGAGTCTGTGGATCCGACTCCCTTTAGTGGCCTACTTCTGAGGGAAACCTCAGACTCAAAGACCCTAGAAACCTAGAAACAAAGCCAATATTAAGGAAAATTCTCCAGTGCCTGAACAGCAGAGGTATAACTAGAATGATAAATAAAAGCCAAATCAGGTTTTAAGATCAAACTCTAGAAGGAGCTATTCTGTTCGGGACAACCCAAAAGTAGTTCTTACGGTTTAACCAAACTATACAATAAAATTCACAGAAGATACATTCAAGGGTGTTGCTTGGGTAGTAGTGAAGTAGGTGAAAATAGAATTATTTTCAACTGTGTTAAAAGAAGTCCAAACAATGAAAGCACAACAAGTTTGTAAAGTTACAAATTGCAGTGGGAGGTTGTTACAAGCTTCAGAAATAGATCCAGACCTTCCTGTAACTATCTTAACAGCCTAAGTCTAAAAAACTAGGCTAAAATTACTCAGGAAACATGCTTGCTTGTAAGATTGTGGATATTTTCTACTCTTGATTATGGTCGAAATGTTGTTAGAACAGGCTGTCATGGAAAAAATGCACCCTTTGGATATGGAAAGGCCACAAGGAAATGAACAAGATGGCATAACAGCTGGACACAGGGTTTCTACAGCATTTCTCAAATCAGAGATCTTAAAATAAAGGTGAATGAATAACCACCATGAGACCCAGTTTATGGAAGAAAAAACAGAGATGGAGAGAAATTATGTGACTTGACAAAGGGCACTAACACAGCAGGGTCAGAACCTAGAACAAACAACTCATCCATCCCTGGTTCTGGCTCAGTGCCATCTCTCCTGGACAGCCCCACTTGTGATGGCAGAAAGTTTATCCAAACTATTTTACAGCTGCACAAAGAGCTCAGTTTGGGGCACAGGTTTAAATCTCCACCAATTTCATTTGAATTGATTTGTTTGTCCCTAGGAGTACAATAGGTTCATTCTGCTTTTAAAAGGCAATAGGTCATTCAGCCTTAAATCAGGAGACAGGTAACTTCCTATTGCAGGCTTGGAGTCCAGAAGTGCCCATAACTGCACTAAGTTCAGGGGTCTTTGCCCATGAAGCTTTCTTTTGGCTTCTGAATAGAGTCCCTTGTATTTCAAATGAAATTCAGTTGCAACTGGCTTCAGGTTGAAATAGTTTGGGTCCAACAGTAACAAAGTGTCATTTCCCCCTCTAGCATCTGGTCCACAGGGCATAATGGCCTAGTGCTGCTCAGTGGTGTAGTACGTACATCACTGGATCTGCAGCACCATGAAACAGCCCAGACATATTCAATAAATCTGTGAGTCCCGACAATCCCAACAAATTGAGGGCAAGTAATAAAACCCAAATTTCAGACCAGTTCTGCGTAATTTGGTGTTCACGAGAACATTTTACTCTACTTACTTCTCTTGATAAGTTCCTATCCTTTAATGCTAATGTGTAAAGGCATTGTTTTTGGCATGGCTCAGCAACATAGTAAACATATTGCCACTAGTAAATAAAAAATTCCTCACTCAAGGCCTGTTAACGCATTAGCAATTTTTCTTTATTTTTTTCTCATGCTACATTAATAGCCAAGGAATCCACTTCGCTGCTGATGTAATTGCAATGGAGGTACACGAGAGAGAGAAAGGGAAAAGTTTTCAGTCCAGCATTGCCATCTTTCCCAAAATGGTCTTGACAATATAATTTTAAGTTCTTAAACAGTTGGTGAATCTGAGTGTTAAATCAAAAACTTTAAAAGAGCACTTGAGTGAGTTGTTACTAAAACAAATACATTTTGGTATTTTATACCACATCTTTCCACCCTGTTGCACTGCCAAGCAAGGCAAAGTTCCTCATTTACGTACTAATAAATGAGTTCCAGAAAAAAAAAACAAAAAAAAAAAACACATTCTGTACAGAATCTGAGCTTATTTGTTTTGTGAACAAGACACATACCAGCCCTTGCCCATACGTATTCCTTCCAAATGCTTTCCTTCCCTGTTGCAAGCCCAAAAGCAAGACAGTGGAATATTTACATGCAAGACATCCTAGTTCAGTCGATCCTATTCCTGGACCATCTTCTCTTTTTTTCTCCATTTCACCATTCTCAGAACGTTTCATTCTGCAGACCACTGGTAGATATGAATAAAGTTGCTCTAGCTCACTGATTCTCAACCTCTTCCATACAGTTTCCCAATAAACACCCTCTGCACCCATTACTGCATTACAACACAGAAGAACTTCTCCACTCCCTTTTTTGTCTCTAATAATCCAACATCTCATAATCCTTTGCTTTAGTTTTCACAGCTCTCCTAACATGGATGGAGCTCCAGCTAAACTGTGTTGCTCCTTGCCTGCTGGGAAAGGCATATCCCCATCTAGGTTCTTCATGTCAACTCTCTTTCCTACTGCCACGCTCCCCTCTACTCTCTACACTTAAGCAGACTGCTGTGATGGGCTACAACATATACCTCTCTTTCCTTTTGGATTTCCTCTATACACGTCTCAGGCAGATTTTCACTTGACAATCCCCCTATCCATTCTAAGACCAGGCAGAGTTAGCAGGGCATCAATCACCAGAACATACTTATTCACGCCTAAATGTAAACTCAAACCTGCAGGTGACTTAATCTGTAAACTGAAAGCAGCAACGCTAGCCTACAAGATGATTTTTTTCTTAATTAATCTCTATATATTCTTAGATTGGCAAGCCTTTGTATCTGCAGGTCTTCTATGTGGCTGGAAAGGTAAAATGATTGTACTACATTGAGAACCATTTCCTGTAAGACATGCCACCAGCATCTTCTCTCTCTCTGTGGCTATTCTGACATCATAGAGGATGGTTGAAAAGCTCAGTAGTTTTGATTTAGGCCTGAGTTTGGCTTGAACATTGAATTAACTTAAAGTGCTATCTTTTACTTCATGTGCAAATCCTCAGGCCTACACATTTTTGTTTGATGATGGCCAAATGCAGGCAGATTGAGGGCTATTCTTTGCAGCTGTAAATTTGGAGCTCTGCCAACTAACTCCAGCTGGAGATCTGGCCCAGAATCTTTATGGCTGTTTATCAGCCCTTCTAATAAAGGGCTGTTGCAGATTTGGGAAAGCAGTAAGGCTACTCTGAGAAGATAATTTGACCCTCTGTGGTTGCACACATTTTTGGACATGTGAACTTAAATATATAATCACATGAGGTATTTCCATCTAATTATGTATTATATAAATACATACATAATACACACATACATACATAACATATAATTCAATATAAAATTATATACTGAAGTGGAAATGCTGCAACTGATTAATTCATGGCCCCCATTTCACTCTAACTTTAATGAATTTTATTTTCTGCAAGCAAAAGTGGAATTGGTATAGGGTGCATTTCACAATCATGTATATACTAGAGGAAGAGAGAGAGAAGGGGAAAGAGATCATTTTAGTATAAGCAGTTACTTAGTTTGGAAATTTACGTTCAAATCATTTACTGTCTTGCAGGATCAGGCCCATTTCCCTGCCCCAGCTCAGTTCATAACAACTGCTGTAGCCCCACCAGCCATGTGGAGCAGCTGGAGTAATGCAGTAAAACCTAAGAGTTCAGAAGGTCAAATAATCCTTGAACTAATGAGGATTTACACTTACGTGATTCAGCATAATGGTTGTTTATGCATCATAGTGCATTTAGATTTTGTTATTGTTATTACAGTTCCTAAATAGTAAATAGTTTATTCTAATACTCAAAATTAGTATTAACAAATGAGTATACCTTTACTGCAAATCTATTCCTTTAGAGAAAAATATGCATGTAGAAATGTTTCTAATACACAAGAGACACTGAACACCAACAGCTCCTATTGACTTCTAAAGAAGCTGCTTGTGTTCAGGATTTGGACCCTGTTTCTCAGCTGGTTCTTCATATGTGCATGATCATCTACACTACAGACTCCTCAGGAACCCCACCCTTTACTCCTGCCACTGATCTCATCCCACAAATGCACAGGACTTTCATGTCACTTGTAACTTTGAATTTCCTATCTCTGGCCAGCTTGTGTCACAAGCCTTAAGATTTTGCACACCTAGTTTTACATTTTGTGTTAACCCATTAGTCCCAAGAGCCACACATGGTGTGATGTGTGGCAAAGAACTTGGGACAAGGGGGAAGAAAGGGGTTAAGTTACAGACTTTTTTAGAACTCTTTGCTAGTGGAAGCTAAAGAGCAGCCATTTCTTGCCTGATACTCTTACAAACATACTGAACCAGAAGTTATACTTATGCTTTCGCTTCTTAAACCTAGTTTTGGAGGGGGAGGGGAGATAATATAAGCAGCAAACATTTTTTCAGCATCACTAAACATTATGTAATTGCAAACTAAGTAGATAATAGGTACCAGGTGCACAGCACCCCTGCTTTATTCAAGGTCTCTTGGGGGTGTTGCAGGAAAGAATATAAAATGGTTATATTACACTGCAACTGCAGTTTCCTCAGGAAAGTAAATTAGATACATCATCCCAGGAATATTTACAATTAGCTTAATTCCTATATGGTGCAGGACATGCAGTTGGTTAGTCTTAAGTGCAGCATCATGCAGTTGGCATTAATGTTGGCAAATGCACTTTACGTAGAAACAGACTTTATGCTTACAATTATCCCAGCCCAATATGGAGTGTCTCTGACTAGAAAAGAAGAGCTGATGCCTGCCATAATGAAGCCCAGCACTGTTATAGAGATGCCTAACACCAGCTGCAACAATGAAAGCAGCAGCGGGAAACGGCAGCCACAACAAGTGTGGGATTCCTCCTCCTGGCCCGTTTTGGGATCCCCCTTGGCTTTGTCCTTCTTCATTGCTGGCTCTTGCTTCTTGGCTGGATCGGTGCTTTCCTCCCCTCCAGGTGCCTTCCCTGTCTGATTCTGGTTATTAAGGGATGTGTTATGCTGGGATGTCTTCTCCTCTTTTCCCATGTTGATGAACTTTTTTTCTGATGGGTGTGTGGAGTTTTTTTTCCCCCTGAAGCCTGGCTTTGTGCTGGCTGAGTTTTTCCTGGTATTTGAATCAAGGAGACTGAACAAATATGGAAAACATTTGGAGCAGATTGTCAGAGCTTCAAAATGCCACATATAGCCCAGAGAAGAGGGGGGTTTAAGGGGGGTAGTGAACTAGCAACATGAAGAAGCCAGTTCCCTATGCTGGGGCTGGCTGTGCACATGAAGTCTGTGTGTCATAATCAGGCTGCAGAAGATCCTCACTACTGGTGTGAAATTAATTAGCTAGGCAAGACATCTTTGTTTAATTGGGGACTGCCTCAGTGCCTAGGATGGATTTTATTTGTGCTTATGAAAGTAACAGGCTTGTTGCAACGTAATAATCCTGTATGTTGTTGGCATGCAGAATCCCAGGTAATAAATCCATGTGCAGCTGTGCACAATACACATAAGCATAATTTGCATACAGATTGTGTGCATGCTTGGGTGGGTGAAGACAGGATCTATAACAAGGATGTATTTTTAACATGACAAAAATTCAAAAACCAGGTTTCTGGGGTTTCAAGCAACACAGAACAGCCCAAGAGTCATAAAGCAAAGAGAGGTGTAGAGGGGTTTTACAAATAACCACATTAGGAGTAATCTGCAAAAATGTACTCCTTTTGCAGGCATTAAGGCATGCAAGGAAGACTGGTGACTATTTGCAGACACCAACAGAGCATGAAGGATTTGCTGAATGTCTATGAAAAATTTCTTAGGGCCACACTTCATTATTAGTAGGTGGGTGTTACTTATTAATTAATCCAGGAAAGGACACTTCATCATCATGCTGAAGTAGATGACCTTCTGAGATCCCTTCCAGCCCTATTTTTCTGATTCTATGATTCTAGAAATATCAAGCCAATATCCTGAACCAGGAAGCACTTAAATTTATGTTTAATTGACTTCATTGGAATTACTCAACTCCTTAAAGTTGAGCATGGTTTGAAGTATTTTGCTGGACACATCCACCCTGGCTGAAAGAATAAAAGAGAAGAAAAAAAAAATCGAAAGTTGAAAAAATTAGCTAAAATTTGACCAATACTTTCATCCTGTGTTAAGTTTGTGCCTGTGTACAGCCATGAGTGGCCTGTTCCTTAGAGAGGCACCAGCAAATGTTTGGTAGCATAAGCTACTTGCAGTATTCTGATTTAAATGAATGGGGATTCCACTGGATTAAGAATTTGGCCAAGCTACCAGCTTGCTTTTTTTTTTTCCTCCCCCAGAAGAAGGTGATTATTAGAATGAATGATAGGAAGAAGCTGAGAACGAGGGGACCAGAACATTAGAAAGT